GAGCAACTTTCAATTTCACTTTCAAAGATAGCAATGAAATTCTTTTAATGTGTACAAAAAATACATGAATTCAACAAATAATCCAGTCATTTCATGGATACCACTAGAATGAAACTAACTTTTCACAAAATGTGTTAACTAACAGTAGATAACAAAAAATTAACTAAATTATATTATTTGTGATAGATAACAAGAATCACGAAGGTATAATTGAATGATGTGGTAAATTATGAACTGTCCAGAAGTTGGGAGCAAATGGTCTACACTCACTCAGCCTTATGAACACAATGCCTCCATTACTTCTAATTGTAAATCCTGACAAAGTCAATATTAAATTAAAAAGTGGGTATCTGGTGAACAGGATTTGATAGTCTACAGGCAGAGAAAGGAGTGGCCAAGAGAGGAGGAAGAGAATGGGAAGGGATGAGATATGAAAACACACAGTTTCATGTTATTTCTATATCTAAGTCAGAGTCCTCATTGCGTGACGAAGTCTCTATCCTATTACAATTGGTCATATGACTCCTTGAAGGAGCTCTCAAATATGAAAAAAGGGAAAAGAACACTTTTGCTACACTCTTCCTGAGCTGCCACAACAGAAGAGAAGAGGGTACCTAGAAATCAGTCCTGCCTGGATGTGACTTGGTGCCTAGAGATCTGGAGCCTTATTTCAGCACACAGCTTGGTTTCCAAATACTGGTTGAACCTCCAGTGGAAAGGTCAACTCTTTAATCTCATGCTCTGCCCTCAGGGAATATTTAATAAGCATTGTTGAACAACTTACTTTTTCAGATGTGAACATGTCATCTTTAGCACTAGGCAGACAGGCCTGGATGCTGGAGGCCAGTTTCACTGCAAATGAATTCGTCACAACATTCTACACAACTCCTGTGTGTAGGAGTTGACTCAAAATTTCAGCCTTCAAAAATTAATTTGCTTTTAGTTTAAAAGTCAGAGAATGGCAGGAGAACTCATTTGTTTATTCTATATATTTGAAGTCAGAAATGGAAGCAAGTTTTAGATCTTTCAAGAAAAGTCAACTTGTCCAATTTCAGCTTCAGTATTAACTAAGCCAGTGGTTCTCAATCCAAGCTGTATAAAATAATTTATTACTCAAGGTTTTTTGAAAGTTGGTCCCAAGGTTCTATCACATACATCTTACCTGACTCTGAAACACTTGTTCAGGAATAAGGAAAAGGAATCTCTGCTTTTACCTTAGCAAGGGCAATTCCATATTTGAAGCCCCAGTTCCATTGTGAGAAAAACCCGTGATGTAGGACTGAATATGCCATAATGTGATTAAATACTTAAAGAACAATCTCTTGAGAAATTCCAGGAACTGCAGGATACTTCAACTCCACAGCTACAGATAACCTGTTCTCCTTGCACGATCACACAATGATGCTAATCAGATCACCGCACCACAGGTTCAGTTCTGGCTTCAGTGGGTCACAAATCAAGTATAACAGAGTCTTGGGTGGGGGGATATAGATCACAGTATACTTTGTCATTGTATTTCAAGTGTGTTGTGTAAACATCTTAACTTTTATAACTATAGCCAATATAAACATAACAGTTTTTGATCCTAGCTTTTCCATTTTTCCCTGGTGGCTCAGCTGGTTAAGAATCTGCCTGCAATGTGGGAGACCTGGGTTCAATCCCTGGGATGGGGAGATCCCCTAGAGACAGGAACGGCTACCCACTCCAGCATTCTGGCTTGGAGAATTCTATGGACGGTATAGGCCATGGGGTCACAATGAGTCAGATGTGACTGAGCAATTTCACTTTCACTTTCCATTCTTAACTTGCTTTTGGTAATATGTTAAAGCTCGTTAAAAAGAAATGAGTGTAAGTAGGTCTTTTCTTGACATCTGAAGTGCTCTGTTCTGTGCTTAGTCGCTCAGTTGTGTCCAACGCTATGTGACCCCATGGACTGCAGCCCACCAGGCTCCTCTGTCGATGGGGATTCTCCAGGTAAGAATACAGGAGTGGGTAGCCTATCCTTCTTCAAAGGATCTTCCTGACTCAGGAATTGAACTGTGGTCTCCTGCCTTGTGGGTGGATCCTTTACCAGCTGAGCCACCAGAGAAGCCCTCTGAAATGCCCTATTCTTACTCACATCTTTTTACCCAAATCTAGCCAACCTGACTGATAGGTATTCACTCTCTGCTCTCTAAGTAGCTCCTGGAAACTAGAGGATTAAAGATGGCCACAAATTTTTAACACTCCTCCTATCACCGTGGGATCTATTCCCCTCACACCCACCCCTTGAATCAGGGCTTGGCTGTAACTGTTTTGATAAATGAACTGTGGTAGAAGTGATGCTGCGTCAGTTCCAGACCTACTGTTTAACAGCCCCAAGCTACCATTTAAGAAATCTGATGACCATCCTGCTAGGGAGACCACAGGGAGAAGTCCTGAGATTACATAGAAAGGGAGAAAGTTCTAGCTATCACCAGCCTTCACGTCATTCCTATTAAGATGCCCAACACACAGTGAGGCCATCTGGAACCTTCCAGCTCAGACCAACTTCCAGCTGAGTGACCCCAGTTAATACCCTATGAAGCCTGGCTAAGCCTTGTCTGAATTGCTGACCCACAACCCTGCAATATCTAGGCATACCTCAGAGATATTGCAGGTTTGGTTCCAGATCACTGCAATAAAGTGACTATCACAATGTAAGCAAGTCACACAAAATTTTTATTTTCTCAGTGCATATAAAAGCTGTTTTGGGGGTTCCCTGGTTGCCTAGTGTTTAGGATTCCAGGCTTTCACTTCTGTGGCCCAGGTTTAACCCTGATCAGGGAACTGAGATCCTAAAAGCCGTGCAATGTGGCCAAAAAAAAGTTGTTTATACTATACTGTAGTATATTAAATATGCAACAGAATTACTGTTGTACTGTAAAAAACGTACACGATTTAATTTAAAAATTTGTTGTTCAGTTGGTCAGTCATGTCTGACTCTCTGTGATCCCATGGACTATGGCCAGGCTTCGCTGTCCTTCACCATTTAAAATACTTTCTTGCTAAAAAGTGATAACCATCATCTGCTACTGCTGCTGCTAAGTTGCTTCAGTCGTGTTCGACTCTGTGTGACCCCATAGATGGCAGCCCACCAGGTATCCCCGTCCCTGAGATTCTCCAGGCAAGAACAGTGGAGTGGGTTGCCATTTCCTTCTCCAATAACCATCATCTGAGCCTTCAGCAAGTCATAGTAGGAACATTAAAGATCACTGATCACAGATCACCATAACAAATATAATAATAATGAAAAAATTTGAATTATTGCTATTGTGAGAATAACCAAAGTGTGACACAGAATCATGAAGTGAACAAATATTTCTGGAAAAATGCCAACAGTCTTGCCTGACACAGGATTGTCATAAACCTTCAATTTGTAAATATCACAATATCTGCAAAGCACAACAAAGCAAAGTGCAACAAAAGGAGGTATGCCTGGTAATAAAGTGGTTGTTGTTTTAAGCCACTGAACTTTGGGGTAGTTTGTTATGTAGCAAAAGCCACTGGAAGTGTGGTCCCACTGACCAGTAGTCACCTAGGAGTTTAACAGAAATGCAGATTTTTGAGCTCCACCCCAGACCTTCCAGATTAGGATCTGCACTTTAATCCCTAGGTTATCTGTATACACATTTAATCCTGAGAGGTTCTGGTATAGCCTACCTTTGGCTGCCAAAGACACTCTAGTCAAGCTGCATTCTGGGAGTCCAGTTCCCAAATCAAGTGATTGGAATGAGCATTCTGGATTTGTATCAACTTCCACACATGCTCTGTGCAAGGCTCATGGAAAGTTAGGCTGAAAACACCAGTGGCTTTTCTTTTTAGTCTATCTGATTTAGTCTTTTGTACTCTTAGCTCCTGGGAGCTATCCCTAAAGCTCTTAAAAGGCACATCAAGTCTGAACCACTCCGAAACTCCCAAAGAGCCTTTCACAGAACTGAGATTTTAAAACTCTTAAATGAGTAGATGGAGCAATCAGGTAGAAAGAAAACGAAAGGAAACCTGCTCCATCCTCCAAAAAATGGGAGAGAAGGATTTTATATTTCCCTTTTAATAAATGAGATTAAAAGGAAAAAATATAGCATATATTTTATAAAGTTTATTTTTCTTACTTCTTTCTGTTCAAGTTTTATTTGGTATCAATAAAGGCTATTATTAAAACACATGCTAGTTGCTCATATAAGGCACTTTGCTAATGTAACACCAACTACGTAAGTGATGAGTCCCAACTACATTCCAAGAGTCATACAAGGATAAAGACCCAGCCCTGCCCTCAAGGTGCAAAGTTCAATGAAGGAGACAGATTTACAAATACATGATTTCAAGATAATGCAAGAAGGCACACATAAATTTCATGACTGGTAGGGATCATAAAAAGTTCCATATAATCAATCCTTTAGTTGAACATTTGAATCTACAACAAAATACCAAAGTTAAGAATCTTTGATGACGGGCAGCCCACTGCATTTCTGAGCATCTCAAATTTTACTGTTTTCTTATATTGAACTAAAAATCTAAGTCCCTTCTACTTATTGGTTGTAGGTCTATCATCACAAGGGCAACACAGAACAAGCAATGCATGTTTGATGGCCTCTCTCTTCTCAGTGATATAGAAACCTATCAGTGAAGGAGAGTGGAATTGTGAAGAGAGGGATTTGAAGTAGCCAACATGGGAACTATGCTAAGTCAATTATAAAACAGACTGAAGAGAAAAGAAAAGTAAATCCGCCCCCCCACGAAAAACCCAATAAAATAACTCAGCACTGTTTTATATTTTCAACAACGTCATGCTGACTCAGAACCAACACACAGAGAGAAGTTTAGAAACTAGACCTTGAGCCAGGTACAAGACACCCAGCGGAAAGGCAAGAGAGCATCTTAATTTTAATTCCAGAGTCTTTGGAAATAACTTCCCTATAAGAAACTCTATATTCTGTTAGTTGAAATAGCCTCCTAGAATGACTCATGCACGTAAATCTTACTTTCCAAAAAATCTTACCTTTACAGACTTTGCAACAGCTATGAGACAAGGTAATCTGATGTGACTCTGGACAGTCCAGAGCAGGACAGCCTGAACTCTCAACCAGCTTCATGCTCTGGTCCTGGTAGACAACAGAAAATAAATGCTTCAAACTTCTCAATTAGGACTAACTCTTTTTTTTTTTGCTTTTAATTTTTTTTCCCATCTATTTTTATTAGTTGGAGGCTAATTACTTTACAACATTGCAGTGGCTTTTGTCATACATTGAAATGAATTAGCCATGGATTTACATGTATTCCCCATCCCGGTCCCCCCTCCCACCTCCCTCTCCACCCGATCCCTCTGGGTCTTCCCAGTGCACCAGGCCCGAGCACTTGTCTCATGCACCNACTCCTAATTCTGGAAACTCCTAAGTTTCCAGATCCAGCGTTAAAGACATCTCTTCAAACACAGGAATAAAATTTTCATCCTGAGGACCTCTGCATAGGTCACAGACTCACTTGCAAAATGATATCAAATGACAATTGGAAAGACTTTCAAAGGGACAAGCAGCTTTGGGAATGGAGGCATGCCTTCAATTTCCAAACATTAGAGTTATCCTGAGAGATTCTGTTAGTTTAAAACATATCTGCACATCCAGATGACAATTGTGGCAAAAAGATAGCTTGAGTTTGATTAACAGCTCACTTTATTTGTTTGAAAAAACAATAAATAAAAACTGGACTTTTTAAACATTCTCACTTCAAAGTTTCCAAACTGTTAGAGAGATTATACCAAGTGAGCATGCTAAGGAATGTTGTGGATCGCTCACAAAACATTTCCAAAAAGGGAAATGCGGGCAGCATTTATGTCTCTTGCGCATGAATGTGTCGCATATTTTCTGGCACATAATTCATGCTCAAAAAATTTTCCTGAGTGAATGAATAAATTAATACAAAACAATTATAGTCCTAGCCACTAAAATAGATAAAACTTTAAGAGAAAACCAAAACACAGAACACTTTTCTGATAAATGGAGTAGCACTGTCCTTGAAGCAAACATCTTGCTTCTAAACTGTCAACTTCTGGTCTCTTAAGAACAAGAGTCATTAACTGTTGTATTATGCTTACCAGTGCATAAGAAATAAAATAATCATTGGACATGGAAGGCTTCCATCTTAATACTGCTCAGTAGCTTGGGTTTTTAGATGTTATTTCTATAAGCACTGCTTCTATTGAAGAAATCGTTTTCATAACTTCAATATCCCCCTCTTCCTGGTTTATTGATGGAAAGGATTTTCTCCATGCCACAATGATCTCTTATCAAGAAAGTGGCAGGAGACACATATAGTGTCATCCTGTATACACATATCCTTCCTTTGATGTGACAGTAATATCCATTCTGATCATCTTATTTTCAGAAGCAGAGTGTGTTTCTGTATTACTATTAAGCTCACAAACTGCCCAGGACACATTTTCAAGGTCACAAAACTGACAATAAAAGAACAAAGAAGGGCTAGAATTGACGACCAAGAAAACGGAAGCCCGAGAGAGCTGTCAATTATGTAAAATACCGAAGTGCAGGGGGCTGAAGGGAGAAGAAACAGTGGAAGTCCTTAATGTCAAGAATTTAGTGAAGAATAATAAAAGTTTATGAAAATCAGGGAGGGCTGGTGCTGTAGAATCCACACCCACTAGCTACATGTTTTGTAAATGTAAATAAGCAAGATTTTGATGACTCAGCATTATAAAAGACTATAAAATATTTCATTAAGAATTTTATATTGATTACATTGGAAATGATAATAGTTTGGCTATATGCAGTTATATACAGAAAGTTTAGCCCAATAAAAATCATGTGTGGCTTGCATCGTATTTCTACTGGACAGCACAGCATGAGAGGGTAGTAAATTGGTGTCTTTTGTTTGAGCAAATAAAAGGTAACATTTATTTATTCACAGGATATTTATTAAGCACCTGGATAGTTGACTATACCGAAAAGTTTCACAAACCCAATTGAAAATAAAATCACTTTTTAGGTATTTTAAAATCAAATAGGAAACCATCTCAGAAAATTTTTAAATCATAATGATCAGTATTGTGGACAACATTTGCCAAATGAAAAGATCACACACAGAAAATGGAGAATCTTCAATTTTTAAATTTAGGGCTGATATTTCAAAGACTTTACTTAGGAACCAGGTGACAAAATTTCCACCTCCCTTGATGGAACATTTCTCTGACTTCCTTGGTGTTTCTATATCTCACTCCAAGGCTCCCAGTCTTTGTATTGATGGTGGGACCTCAGTTCAGTTCAGTTCAGTTCAGTCGCTCAGTCATGTCCAACACTTTGCGACCCCATGGACCGCAGCACACCAGGCCTCTCTGTCCATCGCCAACACCCAGAGTTTACTCAAACTCATGTACATTGAGTTGGTGATGCCATCCAACCATTTTATCCTCTGTCATCCCCTTCTTCTCCTGCCTTCAACATTTCCCAGCATCAGGGTCTTTTCAAATGAGTAAGTTCTTGCCATCAGGTGGCCAAGTACTGGAGTTTCAGCTTCAACATCAGTCCTTCCAATGAATATTCATTGGAATATTTAGGATTGATTTCCTTTAGGATGGACTGGTTGGATCTCCTTGAAGTCCAAGGGACTCTCAAGAGTCTTCTCCAACATCACAGTTCAAAAGCATCAATTCTTCTGTGCTCAGCTTTCTTTAGAGTCCAACTCTCACATCCATACATGACTACTGGAAAAACCATAGCCTTGTCTAGACAGACCTCTGTTGGCAAAGTAATGTCTCTGTTTTTAAATATGCTGTCTAGGTTGGTCGTAACTTTTCTTCCAAGGAGTAAGTGTCTTTTAATTTCATGGCTGCAGTCACCATCTGCAGTGATCTTAGGGCCCCCAAAAATAAAACCTGCCACTGTTTCCACTACTCCCCCATCTATTTGCCATGAAGTGATGGGACCAGATGCCATGATCTTAGTTTTCTGAATGTTGAGCTTTAAGCCAACATTTTCACTCTCCTGTTTCACATTCATCAAGAAGATCTTTAGTTCTTCTCCGATTTCTGCCATAAGGGTGCTGTCATTTGCATATCTGAGGCTATTGATATCTCTCCCAGCAATCTTAATTCCAGCTTGTGCTTCTGCCAGCACAGCATTTCTCATGATGTACTCTGCATATAAGTTAAATGGGCAGGGTGACAATATAAAGCTTTGACGTACTCCTTTTCCTATTTGGAACCAGTCTGTTATTCCATGTCCAGTTTTAACTTTTGCTTCCTGACCTGCATACAGATTTCTCAAGAGGCAGGTCAGGTGGTCTGGTATTCCCATCTCTTTCAGAATTTTCCACAGTTTATTGTGATTCACACAGTCAAAGGTGTTGATGGAGTCAATAAAGCAGAAATAGATATCTTTCTGGTACTCTCTTGATTTTTCAGTGACCAATGTATGTTGGCAATTTGATCTCTGGTTCCTCTGCTTTTTCTAAATCCAGTTTGAACATCTGGAAGTTCACAGTTCACATGTTGTTGAAGCCTGGCTTGGAGAATTTTGAGTGTTATTTTACTAGCATGTGAGATGAGTGCAATCGTGCAGGAGTTTGAGCATTCTTGGGCATTGCCTTTCTTTGGGATTGGAATGAAAACAGACCTTTTCCAGTCCTGTGGCCACTGCTGAGTTTTCCAAATTTGCTGGCATACTGAGTGCAACACTTTTACAGCATCACCTTTTAGGATTTGAAATAGCTCAACTGGAATTCCATCACCTCCACTAGCTTTGTTCATAGTGATGCTCCCTAAGGCCCACTTCACTTCACATTCCAGGATGTCTGGCTCTAGCTGAGTGATCACACCATCATGATTATCTGGGTCATGAAGATATTTTTTGTACAGTTCTTCTGTGTATTCTTGCCACCTCTTCATAATATCTTCTGCTCCTGTTAGGTCCATACCATTTCTATGTTTTATTGAGCCCTCCTTTGCCTGCAATGTTCTGTTGGTATCTCTAATTTTCTTGGAGAGATCTCTAGTCTTTCCCATTCTATTGTTTTCCTCTATTTCTTTGCACTGATCACTGAGGAAGCCCTTCTTATCTCTCCTTGCTATTCTTTGGAACTCTGCATTCAAATGAGTATATTTTTCCTTTTCTCCTTTGCTTTTCACTTCTCTTTTTTTCACAGTTATTTGTAAGGCCTCCTCAGGCAGCCATTTTGCTTTTTTTGCATTTCTTTTTCTTGGAGATGGTCTTTATCCCTGTCTCCTGTACAATGTCACGAACCTCCATCCATAGTTCACCATGAACTCTGGCTATCAGATCTAGTCCCTTAAATCTATTCTCAAAACAGCACTGGTGAAGAGATGCTCATGAGAAAACCCAAACTTGAAATTTAGCTTCAGCAGTTGTGTTTCTGTTCCCATGCCCCAGTTCTCGTATCTGTAAGATGGTAACTAACCTACAACAGGAGAGAGCTGGTTTAGAGCCAAAAGGAGCAGCCAGAATACCTTATAATGAACATGAACAAACCAGAGCTTTCACATTCTGGATATCAGATCTGTCACAATTTTGCTATTTTATGTCTCCTCCATGCTTATCCCCATAGTCTTCCAATTTAAGATGCTTGAGGTATACAGCTGGCTTTTTTCAGATTCAATTTATCTTGGCAAAATTCTGACGATTTTCTTTCACCAACATTTAATCAAATGAATTCTCACAGTATATTGCCAGCAGAGTAAATCACTTAATTTTCTACATAATCTAAACATACTAAATCATCCCCCAAAACCAAGTACAGAGGCATTTAAGAAGAAAATTAGTGATCAAATATAAATGAACCCTAAAGCAGAAACTTTATATGTAGACAGTTTCCTTTATATAGAATATGGCTTGAAATACAACATTATGGTAAAGGAATACAAAATGATAGTTTACAAAAGTTATATGTGAACAGTGTTATGAAACATATTTACTTTTTCAATTAGGTCAAGAAGCAGAGTTAAAATGAATCACGTTTGCTTCAGAAGCATATTTCAAGAGACCGTGGTAGTACATCTATAAAGCATTTTCCTTCAAATCAATTAAAATATTCCTCCCAAAGAAATTAAGATCAATATTAGTCTCATCTTCATCTAATAGCTAATTTTTATTAGGCAAATTGCCTTTTGTTTTTAATTGGCCTGAGTGATATTTGTCACATGAGTCAAAACCAAAATGACAACAGGCTGAGTCTACATTTATCTACATTTTCTTCAAAACAGCAAACAAGGAGCTGATTTGTATTTAGAAAACATAAGACAACTTCATGAAACTTTGATTTGACAAAACAGGGCTTTTATTTATTGGGAAAATTATTTTACAATCACTAATTTATATGATTGCAAAAACAATTAGACTTTTCTGTACAGTTGAGCTATAAATTAATACCTTAAATTTTTAAAAATTTTCTCCTAGGCTAAGAAGTGGAATTCTTAAAGAGTGAAATTTTTAAAGAGACGTTTACTATGTTCACACAACTGAAAGAATTTTAAAACACACGTGAAGAATTTCCTTACCTTACACTCATAGAGAACACATACTCCAGAAGAGGAATAGACTGTATTTCTTTCTCCTTCAAAGTATGTCCGTCCTTGAAATTGGCATATGGCTTTGGAATAAAAAATACAAATACATATATATATATACATATATATATTTTAATGTTTTGTTACAAAAAATAGCTTATAGGTGTTCAGATCATTTGCCTCAATCTTTCATGTTCTTACAATTTTTCAAGGTGTTTGAGTAACTATAATTCCAAATTTAATCCAGCATAAGTAATTTGTAGGCCCAAGTTACTTTCATGCTCATTAAGTTCAAAGAGGAAAATAAGGTACAATATGAATGAGAGGTAATGGCAAGTCAGAATTAAAATCTGGAAAAGGGGTGCTGAGCCAGTCACTTGCCTGCTAGATGATGTCGCACTTAAGGGTACATTAAGCAGGTGCTCAAGGCAGCTACTGATTCAGGGCAACACAAATATGAGACAGGTTCAATTTTTATATACCACTGCAGAATTTTAAATTTTAAGACAGGAAATTAGAAAGAAACTATTTTACCTTCGGTACATACATGTACACTAATTTTATGTTTTATGGGTTGGGGTTATTTATAAGTACACATGGATTAGGGCTCCCTATTTAAGATGTTGAAAGGTCTTAATCTGCCATTGTATCCACTGTCACATCCTGCCTTGCATCCACTGCTGTTTTGCTGTTTAGTCACTAAGTTGTCTGCGACTCTTTCGTGACCCCATGGACTGTAGCCCACCAGGCTCCTCTGTTTACGGGATTTCCCAGGCATGAATACTGGAGTGGGTTGCCATTTCCTTCTCTAGGCGGTCTTCCTGACTCAGGGATTGAACCCACATCTCCTGCATTGCAAACAGATTCTTTACCACTGAGCTACCAGGGAAGCCCTTTATATGCATTACAATTACATAAAATTAAAACAAAACAAAACTTCAGACTTGGGGAAGATATTTTTAATTAATAAAATGCATAGAAGGTATGAAATAATTTTTTGAAAATTTCAAAATATTTACAATACACACATGTACTTAATGGAAACTGCTTGTTTTGAAATGGATATTTTGCACCACCTATGTTGATTCATCACCTAAATAGAAACAGATTTACCCTGAAGCTAATTAAGCTTAACTTTCAGCTTCCTTCTCTGGATTAGACTCCCTTCTATGACTCTGAACCAACTTTTTTCACAAATTTGTACTGTTTTTCTTTCAAAGGGCACTTAATGTTGTATGCTTTGGAATTTCATGACTCCTAGATCAACCCAAGCTAATTACTTCAAAAGACCAGAGGAAGTGGTCATCTGATAAAAAGAAAAAGACACAAGCAATTTGTTAACCCTGTTCACTAAATCCAATTTTCAATTACATGCTAAGTCACTTCAGTCATGTCCGACTCTGCAACCCCACAGGCTGTAGCCCACCACGCTCATTCATCCACAGGACTTTCTAGGCAAGAATACTGGAGTGGGTAGGCATTCCCTCCTCCAAGGGAACTTTCCGACCCAGCGATTGGACCCATGACTCTTTATGTCTACCTGCACTGGCAGGCAGGTTCTTTACCACCAGTGCTACCTCAGAAGCCTGTATAACTACAAGAATTTTACAAAATGGGTGTAGATGTTTCCTTTTAATTCCATTATGTGAGTTAGAATAAAGTCCCTCTTCAGAATTTATACATCCCATTATCTTTAAAAGTATCACTTTGCCTATAAAATTTATAACAAAGAAATTAGACATACTTCTATTAATAATATTGAATATATTTATATATGGTTGTTCAAATATTCATATTTAACCCAACTTTCATCTTTGCTTAAAGGTTAACTGATTATTTAAAAGATTCACATTTAAATAATGGAAAGTATACACATTTTAAAATGCCATCCTTCACCTGATCTCTTTACTCAGCTCTTATTAACAAATTTCACTACATAATATACATTACTGGCAAATTGGTTTAAAAGTTTTGAAGCTTGCTGAAAGAGAATACACTTACTTGCATAAATTATTTTACTTAAAAGCTGGCTGAAGCTTGCTCACTTATGAATATTCAAAATGAAGCTACAGATTTATCAGTTGCATACTATCTATCATATTATGAATTAAAATAGCATATGTATTGACTTAATGAATCTGATTGATTGTAAAACATGCCTCTCCAATGTGTAATTTTTAAGAGTTTTTTTTTCTTATGAAATTGTATAACCTCAAAATAACAAGATCTGGCATATGGTGTGTTCAATTATATCAATAACTACTACATATTTTTCAATAAGGAGAATAAATAAAATCTTACTTCTTCAGCACCTGCCAATCAAAGGTTCCTAGGCCTATTCTGTCAATATTATACAACTTGAAAACTGCAGCCTATTCAAATCCAAAGGTATGTTGAAAAAATAAAACCAAAAACTGACGCTCCAAGTTTTTCTTAGAACAGAAGGAAAAATAAACGCTGTAAAAAATACAAGGGTAATCTGTTTCACCCTAGATAATATACATTTCAATGCTGATCTCTCGAAACATCCCACCCTCGCCTTCTCCCACAGAGTCCAAAAGTCTGTTCTGCACATCTGTGTCTCTTTTTCTGTTTTGCATATAGAGGGATCGGGTAGGGAGGGAGGTGGGAGGGGGGATAGGGATGGGGAATACATGTAAATCCATGGTTGATTCATGTCAATGTATGGAAAAAAACCACTACAATATTGTAAAGTAATTAGCCTCCAACTAATAAAAATAAATGGAAAAAAAATACAAGGGTAGATACTTCTTACACAAAGTTTTATGATAATTTAATACTCATGCAGAGCAGATGGACCTTCTGTTCTAAACTCTTAATTCAAAAGACTCAAACAGGCAACTTGTGAGACAATAGGGCACCAAATGGAGCTTGGCTGAGGGTGAAGAACAAAACAAATGAGATCACAATTGCTTCATTCCGTTTCAAGCAATGAGCACAAATAGGACGAGCTTAGCTTAGAGAGAATTCAAAGTGAGTGATTTTTGATCAACTGCTGTGATTCTCCATAATTTTGAGGTTTACTTCAAATATCTAGTAGTGTCATCAAGATATGCCTTCCCTAGGCTCTTTAGCAGTAAATGTTAAGAAACTCAGAAATATATATATTCCTAATCATTCCTAAAAATACTACAAGGAATCCATAAAATACAATTAGGATAGCCCTGGGCAAAAGGAGTAGACTGCAGGAGTAAAAGTCATATTAATTTATTAATACATATAACAAGCATGTACTGATCTCCTATTAACATGCCAGGTAGTCTGTTAGGTACTAGGACTCAAACAGGAAAGAGACACAATTCATGCCCTAATGCTGAGTAAAGAAGACAGATGTGTGCACAAATCACTATAGTGAAAACCAAGCTCAAGTGCTATAATTGAGACATTCATGACTGAGATGTAAATACAGGATATTCACTGATGAAATAGGAGGGGATAACTGGATCCGGACTGAGCAAATAAGGGCTGTAGAAGTTGCCAAACCCTGGCAACAGAGACAAATCAGCATCATCCTAGGGCTAAGGAACAAGGAAAGGAAATGGTTCTACTGGGACCCAAGGGTGAGCCAGAGCTATGAAGTGAGAGGCAGTCCAGGGGGAGCCGAAATCATCAAAGACACAGGTACCCCCAGAAACCGAGCCTGGTGCAGAGAAGGTGTAGAGAACAAACACAACATTCTCTCTCCACTGGCCTTCCAATTTCCTGCTGGCAAGGAGACCACGGTAATGTGGTCTGCAGAAGTCTAGCTTACAGGACGCAGACCAGAGCAGAGAAGGAGACAGACAGAACTGAGAGCCTGGGTTTCCCAGGAAGAAATCCCCAGTCCCCAGGACTGGTGGCTATCACAGCAATGCAGTTTAGAACATGAAGAGAAACAGTTTGCAAAGATAGGCTGCTTGGATGAGCATGAGAGCGTGGAGCCCAGTGCAAATAAAATTTGAAGAGGGAAAATTGAGACATTAAGAAAAATACAGATCTATTTTAAAGAAAAATCCAGACAGTTTATCAAAATGAGATCCATAGGCAAGGAGAAGGCAAAATGAAGAAACTGGGCTGTTCAAGTGCTAAAATAGAGGAAAGAAAGCAGATCAGGTTCATGCTCCAATTTTAACCAACGCCAGTCCCAGCAGGTGACAGGGACAAAACCTCATAAATAAGAATGATCACTGTGGCTACCACACTGACTGCAATAAAGTCTCTAGAATTCCCCAATTGAACTGCACCGCTCTTCTTACCCATTACCAGCAGAGTGCAAAGTAAAAAACCTCCTCAACAAACCAACAAAGGAATAATCATTTTGCTGTATTTGTTTCTTCTTTAATATGATTGCCTTCACATGTTCATAGTCAGAGGCTTCATTTCTTTCCTAGTTATGGGATGTGTGTGTGTGTGTATGTGTGTGTGTATACAAAACATTAAGTTTCTTGTGACATAACTCTGGATTCATATGTCCAAATCATTTACCATTTTACAGCAGAATTGTGCTAATGAGACTGAATTTTCAAAGATCTGAATGCTCTAATGTTTTCCCTACCTCAATTCAGTTTAGTTCAGTTGCGCAGTTGTGTCCAGCTCTTTGTGAACCCATGGACTGCAGCATGCCAGGCTTCCCTGTCCATCACCAACTCCCAGAGATTGCTCAAACTCATGTCCATTGAGTCTGTGAGGCCATCCCACAATCTCATCCTCTGTCATCCCCTTCTCCTCTTGCCTTCAATATTTCTCAACATCAGGTTCTTTTTAATGAGCCAGTTCTTCGCATCAATGACCAAGTATTGGAGTTTCAGCTGCAGCATCAGTCCTTCCAATGAATATTTAGGACTGATTTCCTTTTGGTTTGAACTCCTTGCTGTTTGACCTCCTTGGGACTCTCAAGAGTCTTCTCCAACACCACACTTCAAAAGCATAAATTCTTCAGTGCTCAGCTTTATTTATGGTCTAACTCACACATCCATACATGACTACTGGAATAACCATAGCTTTGACTAGACGGACATTTGTCAGCAAAGTTATGTCTCTGCTTTTTAATATGCTGTCTACGAAGCTTTTCTTCCAAGGAGCA